TTCTGAGAACAGAATCAGTGAGCTCAAGAATGAAGTTCAGAGACTCCAGAAAAGAGCAGAAAATGGAAAAGAGACTCACAATTCGCAAACAGATGACAAGAGAAGATCGTGATGAAGCCAAGAGGGGTATTATAAGAATTGTTGGAGTCGTAGAGGGACAGGAAGTAAACCTTGATGAAGAAGAAACTGTGAAAGACATCATTGCTACAAAGTTTCCAAAGCTGAAGAAAACTTGTGACCACATTCAGGAGGTCCGAAGGGTACCAGCAAGGAGAAATCCGAATAAAAATACCCCAAGACACATCCTGATCAAAATGACCGAAACCTTAGATAGAGACAAAATTCTGAAAGCAGCAAGATCGAAGAAAGAAATCTCCTAGGAAGGAGCATCCTTAAAATTCACAGCTTATTTGTCTGATGAAACCCTCATGGCCCGAAAACAGTGGTGGGATATAGTGAAAAAACTCAATGAAATAAATGCCTCACCAAAAATACTTTACCCAGAGATACTCTCATTCATAATAGATGGAACAACACACAGTTTCACAGACAAACAACAGCTCAGGAACTTCATAGACTCAAAACCATGGTTACAACAACAACTAAATGGGCTACTTTAAGGCAAGACAGGCCCCTCAAATATATCAAATTTCAACAAAGAAATGGAACAAAACCCCATACCAATAATCTCTCTCAATATCAATGGGCTAAACGCTCCAATTAAAAGACACAGAGGGGCAGGATGGATTAGAAAATTGAACCCAACATTCTGCTGCCTGCAAGAAACACATCTCAATAGTCAAAGCAAACACAGATGCAGAGTCAAAGGCTGGAAAACAATCCTACACGCAAACAGCTGCCATAAAAAAGCTGGGGTAGCCATCCTAATATCAGACCACATTGATTTCAGAGTGAAAAAGGTCACAAGAGACAGTGAAGGCCATTTCTTACTGATCAAAGGTTCTGTACACCAGGAAGAACTTACAATAATAAATGTATATGCACCTAATGAGGGACCAGCAAAGTACTTAAAACAACCTCTCATAGATTTGGAGAAAGACATCAATAGCAACACAATACAAGTGGGAGACTCGAACACCGCTTTATCACCTCTTGATAGATCAACCAGACTCAAGCTTAGCAAGGACATACTTCATCTGAGGGAAGCAATGGAAGAAAGGGACTTAGTAGATATATACAGGACACTTCATCCTCAAAAAGCTGAATACACATTCTACTCAAGCGTACACGGAACATTCTCCAAGATAGACCACATGTGGAGCCACAAAAAATACCTCCATAAAATTAAGAAGATAGAGATTGTATCAATGATCTTCTCAGACCATAATGCGCTGAAATTAGAAGTAAATCACACACAAAAACAGAAAACTAAATCAAACACCTGAAATTAAACAGTGCACTATTGAACAACGAGTGGCTTAGAAAGGAAATCAAAGACTAAATCAAAAGACACCTAGAAACGAATGAAAATGAGGACACGAGTTACCAAAACGTATGGGACCCAGAAAAGCTGTGTTAAAAGGAAAGCATTCCTCAGGAAGGAGGAACGAGCCCACATAAATAACCTAACCTCACAGTTTAAGAGTTTGGAGAAGGACCAACAAAAGGAGCACAACCTGAACAGGAGAAAGGAAATAATAAAACTCAGAGCAGAGATTAACGAGATGGAAACCCAAAAAACAATCCGAAAGATCAATAAAACCAAGACCTGATTCTTCGAGAAAATTAACAAGATCGATAAGCCTCTAGCAAAACTCACAAAGAAAGGGAGAGAGAAAACCCTAATAAACCAAATCAGAAATGAAAAGGGGGTCATTACAACAGAATCTACAGAAATTCAAAGAATCCTCAGGGAGTACTTTGAGAAGCTTTATTCCACGGAACATAAAACCTAGAGGAAATGGATAAATTCCTATACTCATATAGACTCCCAAGGCTGAACCAAGAAGACCTGGAATACCTGAACAGACCTATCACCATCAAGGAAATTGAAATGGTAATAAAAAGTCTCCCCAAGCACAAAAGTCCTGGCCTGGATGGATTCATTAGTAAATTCTTCCAAATCTTTAAAGAGGACTTACTCCCAATCCTCTTTAATCTTTTCCATGAAATTGAAATATCAAAAACACTTCCAAATAGTTTCTACTAAGCAAATATCACACTGATACCTAAAGCAGACAGATACCACAAAGAAAGAGAATTACAGGCCTATATCCCTGATGAGCACATATGCAAAGATCCTCAACAAATTACTAGCAAATAGAATCCAGCTACTCATCAAAAAGATCATACACCATGACCAAGTAGGATTCATCCCAAGGATAGAAGGATGGTTTAACTTCGGAAATCAATCAACATAATCCATCATATCAACAAAAGAAGAGATAAAAAGCATATAATCATATAAATAGATGCAGAGAAAGCATTTGACAAGATCCAGCACCCCTTTGTGATAAAAAAAACTCTAGCCAAAATGGGTATAGAGGGGACTTTCCTCCACATAAAGTCATCTACCACAAGCCTACAGCAAGCATCATCCTCAATGGGGAAATACTGAGAGCCTTCCCTCTAAGATCAGAGACGGGACAAGGATGCCCACTCTCTCCACTACTGTTCAACATCGTACTGGAAGTACTTGAAATAGCAGTTAGGCAAGAAAAAGATATTAAGGGCATTCGGGTAGGAAAGGAAGAAATCAAGCTCTCACTATTCGCAGATGATATGATACTCTACTTAGAGACCCCTATAACCTCCACCAAGAAACTCCTAGAAACAATAGACTTGTACAGTAAAGTCGCAGGCTATAATATCAATACTCAAAAGTCAATGGCTTTCCTATACACAAACAGTGAGAGAGAATAAAGTGACATGAAAAAAACAATCCCGTTCACAATTGTGCCCCAGAAAATCAAGTACATAGGAATCAGCTTAACTAAAGAAGCAAACAACCTGTAAAAAGAAAACTACAAAACACTACTTCAGGAAATAATAGAGGACATTAGAAAATGGAAAGATATCCACTGCTCATGGGTCGGGAGACTTAACATTGTCAAAATGGCAATACTTCCCAAAGCATTGTACAAATTCAATACAATCCCTATAAGGATACTCATGACATTCTTCAAAGAAATAGAGCAAACATTCCTGAAATTCATATGGAACAATAAGCCCCCACCAAGAGCTAAAGCAATTATTGGGAAAAAGAAAACGGGAGGAATCAACCTCCCTAACTTCAAACTGTACTACAAAGCAGTAATAATTAAAACAACATGGTACTGGAACTATGGCAGAGCTGCAGACCAATGGAACAGGGTTGAATACACTGACATCTCCCCTCAATCATATGATCATCTAATCTTTGATAAAGGTGCAAGAAATGTGAAGTGGAGTAAGGAAAGCCTCTTTATCAAATGGTGCTGGCAAAACTGGATGGCTACATGCAAAAAAATGGGCTCAGAACTCTGACAAACACCATGTACAAAAGTAAGATCAAAATGGATTAAAGACCTCAACATCAGACCGGAAACCATTAGGTACATTGAAGACAAAGATGGCAAAACCCTCCATGACATTGAAGCTAATGGTATCTTCAAAGATGTCACGCCACTGGCTGAACAAGTGAAAACAGAGATAGATAAATGGGACTATCTTAAACTAAGAAGCTTCTGCACTTCAAAAGAAACAGTGACCAAAATACAAAGACAGTCTACAGAATGGGAAAGGATATTTGCCGAATACACAGCTGACAAGGGGTTGATATCAAGGATATATAAATTACTGGTTGAACTCCACAAGAAGAAAACATCCAACCCCATCAAAAATGGGGCAATGAAATGAATAGAAACTTTCTCAAAGAAGAAATCTGAATGGCAAAAAAGAACCTGAGATAATGCTCTACATCATTAATCATCAGGGAGATGCAGATCAAAACCACAATGAGATACCATCTCACACCTCAGAGACTGGCCCACATCTAAAAGAACAAAAGTAAACAATGCTGACGCAGATATGGCAAGAGAGGGACACTCCTTCACTTTTGGTGGGAATGCTGACTGGTTCAGCCCTTTTGGAAAACAGTATGGACGATTCTCAAAAAATTAGAAATTGAGCTCCCATTTGACTCAGCAATAGCACTCCTGGGAATATATCCCAGAGAGGCAAAAATGTATAGTTGAAATGACATCTGCACTTGTTTGTTCATTGCAGCACTGTTTACAATAGCCAGAATCTGGAAAAAACCTGAGTGCCCAAGAACAGATGACTGGTTAATGAAACTTTGGTACATCTACACAATGGAGTACTATGTAGCTGTTAGAAAAGATGAAGTCATGAAATTTACATACAAGTGATACAACATGGAAAGTATCATGCTAAGCGAAATGAGTCAGAAAGAGATGGATAGACATGAAAAGATTGCATTTATCTGGGGGACATAAAGTAAGAAAATAGGAGATTAATACACAAGAATAGCTGTGATCAGTACCAGGAGGATTACTCCATGGCGGCATTCTAGGGGAAAGGACAGCTAAGATAGAGAAGGGAGCACCAAATAAATGGTGTTTGGAGGATCCTCCCAGGAGGGGAGATGCATGTTGAAAGTGGACTATGGACTTAACATGACTGCCACTCAATGTCTCTTTTGCAGACCATAACACTCAAATGGAGAGAGAGAACAAAAGGGAATGCCCTGCCACAGAGACAGGGTTGGTTGGGGGGGGATGGGTGTGGGAGGGATACTGGGATCCATGGTGGTGGAGAATGGGCACTGGTGGAAGGATTGGTACTTGATCATTGTATAATTAAAACCCAAGCACAAAAATTTGTAAATCTACAACTGTACCTCATGGTGTTTCACTAAAAAATTAAAAAAATTATCATGTGCTTATTACTAAGTTCAAACTAATCATAAAAAAAACAAATAAAATTCTAAATGCAGAGGGAAGGAGCATGAGGAAACACAGAGCAGGTTTTTGTCTCACTTCCCTATGAGCGTGAACCACCGTGCGTGTGCCACCACGCCTGCCTGAGCAACAGTAGTAATCAGCCTCGTCCTCAGGCTTGAGCCCAGAGATGGTCAGGGTTGCTGTGTTGCCAGACTTGGAGCCAGAGAAGCGATCAGGTATCCCTGATGGCCGCTTATTGACATTATAAATCAGCATTTTTGGGACCTTGTTCTCATGCTGCTGGTACCAGGAGACCTCATTATATCCCCCAATGTCATCACTGGTTCCTATGCAGGAGATGGTGACTCTCTGTCCCTGAGTCCCAGACACTGAGAGAGGCTGAGTCAGGACATTCTGGGCCCAGGTTCCTGAATAAAGAGAAAATAAAACATTGGTGAGTTCAGGCTCGTTCTGGATGTTTCTGAGGCGGGAAGACAGAGGGTGAGCCCAGATGTTCATAGGGTCCCTTCCTTGAGCCTCACCTGGGCCCTGACTGAGGAGGATGAGAAGGAGAAGAACCCAGATCATGATGGAGATGCCCAGAGTGCTGCCTGCTGACACCCCAACCCTAGGCCTGGCTCTCTCCCAGCTCTTATGCCTCCCCTGCCACAGAGAAGGGAGGTGCCTGCATGCAAAGCTGTTTCCTGCACATGCCCCTGCTCGCTCCTCTCTGGCCTGGCCTTGGCATGATCTCTCAGGATTTCTTGACAGCAGAGATATCAAGTACACTAATTTTTCTGACATTACTTTTTCTCAAAATAAATATTTATTTATACATCATTTACAGATAATAATAAATATGCTGAAATCCCTCATGTTCATAATCACTTGTGTTTATGGGACACTGGTGGGACGCGACAATGTCTCTGTGAACACACAAGCTCGGGGCACCCATAGAGATACTCTCTATTGGGAGTCCATATTCTGGGTTATTTTCTAACATTAGGAAATTTGGCTATATCTCTAATGACTTGCTCATGGTGATCTTTTACTTTGGGTCTCCAAACTACACACTTTTCACTGGCCCCTGCCACACTTGTTTGTGCTGAAATATCTGCAGCATGGAATTCCTCAGGCACTTGATCATTGGAACACTCACCTTCGCACCACAGGGATGCTTTGAATCGAGGAAACCCAAGAATAAACAGCAAAATAGAAAAACGCAAGGAGCGATACTCCCATTTGTGTCTCCCAATGTTGCCTTTGCATTCTTGAACTTGTCAATGTCTATTTCCTCGCTCCTACTCTCATTCAACAAGCATCAAGACAGTAAATTATGTACTCTGTTATAGCATTGAAAAAATAGTAGCAAGAGAAAAAAGAGAGAAGTACAATTTCAGCAAGGTATTTCTTATGAATTTGTGTAATCCAATATTTTATTCCCTTTTATGTCCCATTCTTATTATAATACTATATACAATATATAATATACATAATACTATATATTATATAATGAGCATTTTATAATATTATGTTATATGTTGTATATATAATACCATATATTATATGCTATACATTATAATACAAATACAGTTTCAACATTCTTGGACTTCCTTTAAGTCAGTGAAACAATGAATTTAAAGCTATGTGATACATCAATCTCTCTATGTAGTTACATGATATGTGAATATCATTCCATCTCTCAACGTGCATTGTGAAGACTAACATAAAATTACATCTCATTGTTATTCCTTCCAAAAGCATGAAAAATATCCCAGTAGTGTTAGGGCAGATTGAATTGTAATATAACGTAAAAGTCAAGCAATCTCAATAAATATTACTAGCATTCTCAACTAACAAAAATTGCACAGAAGGCTTAACTGTAACAACATCTTAGTAAATCCTCAGACAAGGACTTAATTTACCAGTGGTGATATACAGTTTTCACAAATATTCTTCTAAAAAAATTGTTTAATCTTTCCATTACCCTTTTAGTAGTAAAAAGCAACATAAAATAATAATTGTTCACCTGCTATGAGGGCAGGGTGTAAAGCTGGTTAGTAAAATAAAGTCAATTATAGCGGGGAGGTGAGAGGAGTGGTGGGATTGGTATTGGAATATTGGCTGCCTGTAAAAATCATCATGATCAACTTTATTAACCACAATATTTAAATAAAGTGGGTGGGAGAGGGATAGGGAAAGGCTTGGAAAATGACTTCCCATTTCTCACATTTTTTCTTTTTCTTTTTCTTTTTTTTTCTATTCTGACATTTTCTAAAACACATTGCCAGCTCTGCATGAGTCAGGTTTTAAGTTCTAATCCTGGTGCCACTACATGTCATGGACATGATTCTGGAAGCTCTTTCAAATTGGCAGTTTTGCTGTCTGGATCCCAGCACTAGAGGAGATTTTCTGCAATCCTACATCCATGTCGCGTGAATAGTAAAATTATCAGAACATCCAATGATGAGTGGTAGTATAAGACATTAATATTTTCACCTGGAAAATAGAGTCCCAGGGAGCACCAATGCTGAATGTAGCCTTAATGAGCAACAATACTAAATGTGAAAGCACCATAGTGAGTGTGATATCAACCACATCCACTGAAAAAGCTAGGAAGGTGAGGAAGTGAGAAATACAAATTCACCAATTCTTAAAAGATACTCACTTTACTGTCAAGTCAAATAAATACTCAACCACAGATTACTCTTCAGTTCTAGTAAACTCAGAGACCATTGCATGTGAAAGCCATGAGAACACTCAGAAGACAACAGTTTGAGTAACGAAAATGTGGATGACAAAATATTCATGAGGAGAACTAGGGGAACATTTCTCCATCCTATGCAACGGAGAGCCCTGAGAACGCACAGAGAGAGGATAGTATTTGAGTAACTCAATACGTGAATCAGAAAATGTGAATCAGGAGGGAAACTTCTGCATTTAAAGCACATCAAGAGTCGTGAACTTCCTTTTTTCCATTTTTATCTTGGGCTTCAAGAATAGCCACCAAATTAGTACAGCCACCGATTTTTCTTCTAGAAGAGTGAAGGATAGGCAGCTGTGGTACACCATACTTTTCAGAATAAATCACAGCAATGAAATTTCCCTACTCAACTCTTTACCACCACCAGGCGGCCACATGCTGCATTACAAAGACTGATAAAAAGCACAATTAGAAAAAGCTCAATTAAGCTGAAGATCCTCTCCTCCAATCCCTCTCTTTTTCTCTATGTTGAGCGTGGGATAACATTTCCGCCTTGTCACAGGGAGCTTAGGTTTTCTGGGTTACTCCCATCACAGTACTCCCTTTCTTCTGTGTTTATTTGTAACCTCTTTCTTTGTGCTCTCTTAACTTGTAAATTTTGCTTTTCTCTTCTCAAGTACTTTGCATATATGATTCAGAGCAAAGTACTTTTTGTATAGATACAGGAAGATAATTAAAGTAATGTTTTTGTAACTTGGGAGTTAATTGACTCCAGATAATATTACCTCCTGGACATCTGTTCTCTCGACTTAAGCCTCAGTTGCCCTTACTTCCAAAAGCAGGATCCCGAGGAGGGACTGGATGGACCCAGGTCAAGCTGTGAACTATGAGCTACTCTTACGTTGAAATGGGACTGGCCAAAGTGCCATTATACTTAACTATAAGTTAACAGCATGGATATGGACAAATTCTGTGATGATCCAAAATGTAATAACTAGATAAGGACCCTGCTAGGTCTAGGAGTGATTAATCCGGTCTGAGCACTGTAGTCTGAGCCTATGGCAGATGTCCCCAGGAGATTCACCCTAGAAGCTCAATATATCTCTTACTGTGTCCATACAAAATAACTAATATTAAGAAGTAGAATTTAAGATGTTAATTAAGATGTCAATTAAGTTATTGGACTAAAGATAGGAGAAACACCCCTAGGTGGGATTTCTTCCCTTGAGTCTGATGGGCAGTCAGGAAGGGTTTTTGATATGTTGATTTTATTGCAGGACAGGGTAGCCATAGCTACCTCTAAGACTGGGTGTTGGAGAGAGACCAGAGAGAGAGACCAGGGCATCAAGATGAAGCAGAAAGACTAGCAAGGGGGATAGATGGAGAAGAATGTAGGGGAGGAATGCAGGAGCAGGCGCTTGGAGAGACAAGAGACCAGACTGTGAGAGGGAGCGCAGAGAGATGAATGGGAGAGACAGGAGGAGATGGGAATGAGGGGCAGTGTGAGACGAGAATGGAGAGCTCAGAGAGATTGGAACAGACACGTGGGGAGAATGGAATGAATGGCAACTGATCATCAACCAGCCTGGCCCTGATCTCCTCCTTCATCCACCCATGGCATGGGACACCCCGGGTAGGGGAACGGCACCTCACGAGGGTAGCGAGAGGGAGAATTGCCGGGAGCTCCCCTAGCTGCTCGGAGATTACACAGTTGGGAAATATCGAGACCTGGAGGTAAATGGAAGAAGTGAAAACCACCTTGATTCTTTCTAGTTGTTTTCAATCTCTTTCCCTGGTCCTCAGAATCCAAGAAAAAAGAAAATATACATTAAAAGAAAAGAAAAGGCCCTCCCGTTGATCGTCGATTTGCTCGAGCGGGCCCAGTAACGTCTCCATTGGAGACTTTGTTGTTACTGTGTCTGGCATATCGAATACTCTCGGTAGCTTGCCAGGCTCTCCGAGAGGGGCGGAGGAATCGAACTCGGGTCGGCCATGTTGGCCGCTTGTAAGGCGAACGCCCTACCCGCTGTGCTATCACTCCAGCCCTACAAAGTGCCCATTTTATGGTCTTCTTTGTTATTTTTACTTTGTTTATTTTTAAAAGTTTTATTACAGTAAATGCCCATTTTAAATACAAGGCTACAGTGACAACCTCTTCATGTTGACTCATCCACCAGCCTTGCTCTTTAGATTCACAACCTAAACATCGGAGGAGATGCAAGTCAAGCAACTGAAATTCACAGACACACTGGAATCCCATGGTTAAAACCCGGGGCACCCTGAGAATGGGGATAGTCCATGTTCCCCACTACTGAAGCTTCTGAGGTTACACTGCTCGACACTGCTGCAGCCATTCCGACTACTTATGACCTAACTTCACGGCTTCCCTATGGTTCCTGCAGTCTCATCCCAGTTCTACAAATCCTGAAGTTTCTGAACCTCCAAATTCCACAGCACTTAGTCATGTTCACATTTCAATTTGCTTCAGTTGGCTTCTAGATAGTCCTATTTAAAAGATTTCAAGTGTCTATTTGCTTGTGTGTTCTGAATGAACTACTTCTACTGTCCTCCATTTTAATTTTTTTATTATAACTGTAATTCCATTACAATCCAAATTCATCAATTTGCTCGAGCGGGCCCAGTAACGTCTCCATTTTGAGACTAGTTGTTACTGTATTTGTCATATTGAATACATCACAGGTAGCTTACCAGTCTTTGCCCTGCGGGCAAGATACTCTTGGTAGCTTGCCTGGGTGTCTGAGAGGGGCAGATGAATAGAACCCAGCTAGGCCAGGCTCACTGCATGCAAGGCAAATGTCCTACCGCTATGCTAACGCTCCGCCCTGAAAACACCAGAAATTGGTGCTTAATTGTATTCATTGATAAATTTATCAAGTGAAAAATCATTTATAGTCATAAAAGAAACTATAATTTACCGTAACAATTTATGTAGGTTTCAAGAAGAACTAACTTAGAAAAAAATTGAGATCACTGAAAAACATTAAATAACTAATATTCTATATGAATCCCTAACAGGAATATGTAAACTCCTAACAACACAAATGTGTTGACATGTACTGTAAATTTTTTTATGTAGAAAGTGGAGGAGCAGAAATATTGGAAACAACTGATGGCATATAGGAAGTTTCTTTAAGAGTAAAAATATATTATGGAAAGAAATGTTAATGGATGTATCAAGGTGAAACTATAAGAATACATGTTTTTAAGGACTGAAATTATGGGATGCCAATTCTACCCCCAAAAATCTCCAACTCTATAGGTGGATATACAGATTATCTCAAATAGTTTATGATTTTATTTTTGTGCATGCCTGCACAACATAGAAATTTAGAGAGAATTAGAACCAAATACAAAGAGCAGCAAATAGGCAATGAAAGAATTTTGAGAATGTTATAACTTAAAAAAAAATCAAACTTTAATCATTCAATTTCAAAATAAATATAAAAACTAATGAAAATCTTAGCTTAGAAGGGAAGGAAGAAAAGATGACTCAGAGCAGGTCTTTATCTCACTTCCCTATGAGCGTGAACCACTGTGAGAGTGCTAACACTGCTTAAGGAGCAACAGTAGTAATCAGCCTCATCCTCAGGCTTGAGCCCAGAGATGGTCAGGGTCGCTATGTTGCCAGACATGGAGCCAGAGAAACGATCAGGGATCCCTGATGGCCGATTTTTGACATCATAAATCAGCAATTTGTGGGACTTGCCCTCCTGCTGCTGGTACCAGGAGACAAGATCATATCCCCCAACGTCATTGCTGGTTCCTGTACAGGAGATGGTGACTGTCTGTTCCTGAGTCCCAGACACTGAGAGAGGCTGAGTCAGGACATTCTGGGCCCAGGTTTCTGAATAAAGAGAAAATAAAACACTGGTGAGTTCAGGCTGGTTCTGGATGAACCAGACGAGTGGAGACAATGGGTGAGCCAAGCTGTGCCCAAGTCCTTTTCCTGAGCCTCACCTGGGCCCTGACTGAGGAGGATGAAGAGGAAAAGAGCCCAGGTCATGATGGAGATGCCCAGAGTGCTGCCTGCTGACACCCCAACCCTGGGCCTGGCTCTCTCCCAGCTTTTATCCTTCCCCTGCCCCAGAGAAGGGAGGGGCCTGCATGCAAATTTGCTTCCTGCACCTGCCTCTGCTCACCCATCTATGGCCTAGACTTGGACTCCAGATGCTTCTGCATTACTTTAAAAACTCTTTATTACTGGTTTCTCTTTTCCTTTACTTTTTATCTTATTATGGCATTTAAGGGGGCATGGAGGCCATTACCAATGATACTCTGCTAATGGGTCTTCCAGTACAGTGTCTGGACTAAGTTGTGCTGTGGACCAAATCTACTGCATGGTGCTGTGGACCACCAGGGGCACCATGGTGGTGCTTTGTGAGTCCAATGCCAAACCCAGGAGAGTGATCTGGTGCCAGTGATTGAACCAGCAATAGACTAACTCTGGCACTTCCGTATTTCTGCATAACACAACTATCAAGAAAATTAATTCTTCTTGATATAAATTTTACTCATACAAACATTTTGATTCCTGCTTCGAAGAGGAAAATAAATGTGATGAGATCACATGCATTCATGACCTTCCTATTCTGGGTCTTTGCATGCAATGTGACTGCCTCAATGATCACTCAGTATGGTGTTACTCTAGGAAATGCCCTCTTGCATGTGCCTATGTTTCAGTTTCTCTCTAACATTGGCCAAGTTATCTACCCTTTTGTGTAAACAACTGCTCTTGATGGTTGATTGTTGATGGTGAGACTCTCAGATACATTCTTGTCACTACCCCAACCACACTTGTTTGTGCTGAAGCATTTGTTGTCCTGAGTCTCAGAAGCGGATTGTGACTCCCCAGCTCACCCACACACACACACCAGGGAGAGAAACCTTTCAACAAACAAGGGCAGCTTCCAGCAACAATAGGTTTTTTTCTTCAATTCTCTTAAGATCTCCTCTGCGTTATTCAACTTGCAACTTTATTTTATCCTGCTTTGATATTTAAGAATGAATTGTGTAACCCAGAGTAGGTGTTACATGGAGGTAGTAATCAGAGAGACATAGAAAATCAGGCTTAATTTTTCTGCATTTCAATCTGTACAGTGCAGTATTTGTAAGCAGTCATATTATCTAAAAACCTTAGTTACAGTTTGTCTTTAATTTGTGACTAGACCACAGGCAATTTTTTTCACCCTTCTAGGGTGGTTTTCTTCTAGATGTCTACATTTGTAGATATGTGTTTAAATTTCTATATGTAAATGCTATATGCTTCTAAGTCCTCTTTCTGTAACTATGGATACTAAAGATAAAAAAGCAACATAATACTACATCCTTGTCTTTATTTCATCTAAAAGCTTCTAAAACTAATGTAAGATTCTCATCTTTTTCTTCAACTTATGATAAAACCTTCTTTTTGAATGAACAGCAATTCTTATTTTTCAACTCTACTAAGATGCCAAATTGTCTGCTCCAACTTTAAGTCTCTTAGTCACTGAGTGTGCTCATTTATACAGGATTTGCCTGAGTCAACTGTCAGTTAGAAATGACCTGTAGATAAAAGTGCCACAAAAATGCATGGCTCAATTCAATGTACTTACCTGCTTTCTAGAATCATTCTTAGTCTCTCCAAATGATGGCTACTTTGAGAGTTCTACTTTACCTTCAAGCAACATTTTTAAGTTTGGTGAGCCATTTTGGTAATTAACATTTAAGTAGAAACTAAATGAACTGTTTAATAAGCTATCTTCACCACCACCACCCCCACCTCACCATTCAAGACCTATGAGGGCCAATTAGAGCTTGGAATGCCAGCCTTGCCAGTTCAAGCCCTGGTACCTCCACATGTGCTGAGTATAATACAGGAAGCTTTGTTATTTCAGATTGGCAGCTCTGCTGTGTGAATTCACAATTTCTCAAGCAACTCCCAGCCATAACACAACGTGTGTGTGTGTGTGTATGTGTGTGTGTGTAAGAGAGAGAGAGAGAGAGAGAGAGAGAGAGAGGGAGAGAGAGCACTCCAAACTTAATGGTGTACAACCCCAATGAACAGATAAGATACATGGTACCAGGCTAGGAAGGGCAGCCCTAAGGAGCACTTGGTGCTCAGTGGGGGAAGCTCTTCCACCTGATGTGCAGCCCCAGCAAGCACAAGAACTCAATGGAAAAGCATCACAGTCAGTGTATCTATACCCCCTGCCTCCCATCATTGTACAAACAACTCTGCATATTGAATACAGGAGAGGAGAGGAAGCTACACTTGACAGCATTTAAGAAAAAGAATATAATGCAAAGGTAAAAGTATCAGTGAGATCACAACACCATTTGCCGCCCTCCCCTCCTCCCCAACATACACACCCTTTATTTCAGGTATAAACCTTTCTTAATCTTAATCAACTAGAGGACAATAAGTTTGACCGATAGTGAGTGGCATACTGAATGCCACATGACGGGAAGTTTCTTCTGCCCTTTAAAGGAGTTTTTTAAACACCTCCTATAAAACTTGTTTCAAGGCTACGAATTCCCTAAGTTGTTGAATGTCCATGAAGTTCTGTATAATTCCTTCAAATCTGAATGATAATCTAGCTAGATGGAGTATTCTTAATGAGGTATTTATTTCATTGAGGTTTTGCAGTATATCCTTCGATATTCATTTGTCTCATAAAGACTCATTGGTTATCTGCTGTACATTTAATGGACTTTACTTTGAATAAAAGTTTCTTTTTTGATCTTGCTACATTCAGTATTCTTTCTCTATATTTTGATTTTGTTTTTGAGTACAATATGCCTTTTAGTTTTAATAACTGTGTCTATTTTCACTGGGTACCCAGAGGCCTTTTGGATTTCAGTGCCTGTAATCATCAACTCTGATAAATTCTTATCAATTTCTTTAACTAGAGCTTCTTTACCACATTTGTCTTCCTGTTCTTTAGAGACATCAATTATTTTGATATTGTTCATTTTGAACTTATCCCATAGTTCTCTGATATGCTGTTCATTTCTTCCCAGGGTATCTTCCATCTTCTGCTGCTTTCTAGTGGTTTCCCAATTCTCGCCGTGGAGCGCCTCAATCTTCTGTTCAGCTTCTGCTATTCTGACGTTCAGAGATTCTATCGACTTTCTTTTTAATATCATCTACCATGTTCTTCATTTCTGTGATTTCTGATTATAGTCATTTTCTCATTTGGACTCTCATACCTTCTTGTGCTTTGCTGACTATTTGTGCTATTGTTCTTTGAACTCATTGAACACCCTCATCATAATGTCACTAAAGACACTGTCTGAGGATTTACTGGTGTTGTTTATGTCTTCAATGACGCTGTGTTTTATTCAATGAGCTTGATTGGTTCCTATGTGTTTTCCCATTGGTTTTTCTAGTATTCTTCTGGTGAGAATGAGTCTTTGTAGTTATATCAGCTCCTAGAGGCCCCAGTCACTGGAAGATACTAAAGCTGGCAACTGCTCTCTGTCTTTTCTTTCCACCTTCACAGAATGAAAGGAAGAATAACTGTGAGCAGATAATTTGTTTAGCAGAGCTATTGCACAGCCACACAAGTGGCCAACAATTCAGGAGCTGTGATGTGGGCCTTTTAAATGACGGAGATCCAGTGTGGAGGCTGTTGGTACACACCGTGAGGAAGAGGCTCTTCCTCCTGTTGGAGCTCTGCCTCCTGTTCCAGAGAGGCTCCAGTGATATCAGCGAGAGGCAGGTCTCTCCTGCAATTGTGAAGCAACAAGCAGAAGGTTAGAGGAATCTTTTGTCCTCTTTTATATCAGTTTAAAACCACTTACCTCTGATTGTTCAGGTATTTGAGTTTCCACACACCCCCACTTTGGGGGAGAATCTTCCATATTTAAAGGCCCTCCCGTTGATCGTCGATTTGCTCGAGCGGGCCCAGTAACGTCTCCATTGGAGACTTTGTTGTTACTGTGTTTGGCATATCAAATACTCTCGGTAGCTTGCCGGGCTCTCCGAGAGGGGTGGAGGAATTGAACTCGGGTCGGCCATGTTGGCCGCTTGTAAGGCGAACGCCCTACCGCTGTGCTATCGCTCCAGCCCTTCCATATTTATTGGAGAAGAATATTTACTCCAACTTTGAGGTTTCAGAGAGAGGTGAAACTCTAGGAAATTCTGCTAGACTCATCCCCTCAGTTTCTTCCTTTGAGACCAGTGTTTTCTTTTTGAGTATCTTCCTGGTTGATCTATCAGGCATGAGAGAGTGGTACTGAAATCTACTACTACTATTTTATTGCTGTCAGAATCTTTTTTTTTCAGGTCTATACAGGTTGTTCTATATTTCTTGATGATTCATCATCAGGTAAAAGTATGTTTAGGAGTGTAAGTTCTTTTTGATGTACAGATCACTTGATCATTACATGATGACCATCTGTATCCCTTCCTCATAGAATTTCCTTTTTTGAAATCTATTTTGATCTAAGTGTGGTCATTCCAGCTTCCAGCTGTTTTTAGTTATTTAATTTGATCTTGGGGCCACATCCGGAAATGCTCAGGGCTTACTTCTTGCCGAGAGGTTATAGAAATAGTTGGTGCTGGTACAGACATTTAGGCATCACCGACCTTGTTCATAAATCTTGCTGGACTTGTACACTGCATCCATATCTGTGAGTGTCTCCTGTGCTCTGGTAGCTATGAATGCAATTCTGATTTTGTAGTACAAAGTTCTTAAGCTGTAGTGAGAAAAAGACTTTATTGTGGGAGAACTTAGCAATTCACTGGGGATCAGGAGGAATAAAATGAGGAGTAAAAATTTCTGTGCAAATTCTTAAATAAGAGTTTATGTGCATGCTCCATGAATTTTAACAGGATGTAAAATCTCTGTGCTGGTTCATAATCCTTGTCTGCATGTGCTCACCCATGGTTTCTAGGTGCCCTTCTACACTGAGTTTCCTAAGCCCACCCAACAGTGTTCCTCTTTATCCTTATACTTGGTCTGGACACAAAACTTGTCACTAAGAATGCCATAATTTTATTTTTTAATTTATTTTTATGAA